AGGTTAAGGAAAGAGAATAAGAGAGAGGTCTTAAGGCATAGGAATCACCACTAAGCTCTTCCTCTAAACAACTAGTCTTTGACAAATTTGGGAAAATTTAATGTTGTAAACTAAGTGTGTGCTAGCAATTGAAATAATAAGTATGGAGGACTAAATAAGTGTGAATTGTCTACTTATGCTAGTGTGTAGCACAACCCATCAAGTAAAAACATTAACCATTCAATAAACCCATAATTGTAACATACAACAATCTAGATAAATGCACATCATGGGATAACAAGCATGAGTTATCAAATACAAGCATGGATTATCTACCTATCTAGGAAATCAAATGCAATTACACTACAATTACACTAATGACAAGAAAATTAAACTAATTGACTAAGGTTATAGAACAATTCATCAAGCATAAGTATAACCCATCAAATCAATTACAAGTATAACCATTAAGCACTATGCATGACCATCACTAGATTTACAATCCCAACACACATAGACATGCATTAAATTTATAGAATCTAATGTAGATACATAACCATCCATTTCATCACACAGACTTGTAAATAAAATTAGAACATTAATTGGAAGAATTAAATCATGAAAATCACAAAATTTATTTAATCACAAGGTCAATACATTATTTACAACAAAAATTCCCAAATAGGTCAAAAAACTAGAGCTTAGAGTGCAAGCCTAGGGCTTCTCCTAGCCCCGAGAAGATGATCTAGCCACTCATGGATGTGGTCTTGCAACCCTCAAGGGTTATCTTCATAGTTGAATTTATCTCCATCTTCTTCGTTTTCTTGGTAAAAACCCTAGAGAGAGAGAGAGAGTCTTTCCCAAAGTGTTTAATATTCTCTAATCTCTTGCCAAAAATGTCTAACCAACCAACCTCCTTTCCAAAAATGGCTAATTCCCTTATATAAGTAGCTCAAATGACACCCCAAATGGTCAAACCTTGTGCACTAAAACCTCCAAATGATTGCACCACGAGCATACCTTCAATTGGGCTTGAATTCTGTTCTGCACGATTTTTGAGGCAGTTCGATCGATCACACTGTTGCTTCGATGGATCGAAGTATAGCGGCACATTTATTTGGATAAGGACAAAGGTTGAAATATTTATACGGAAAATGACCAAAGTGGTTATGAGGATAAGATCAAAAGGATCAATCGATCGAAGAGAGGTTGGATCGATCGAATAGGAAATTTTCCTAAGGATAAGGACAAGGGCTCGATCCATCATGGCAGGTTTGGAACGATCACAGTGTGATCGATCACAGTATGGTTCGATCGATCGAACAGAGACAATTTCTATCTTTTTGCTTCCACTTTGCTCCATCTTTCCACTAGACTTTGGATTGCCTTATCCAATGCTCTAATTCAGCTGATTTAACTCATTTTGGGATTAAGAACCTGAAAAAGGAAAAAATGTAAAATAAAACTAAAGCGGAAAAATAAGATAGAATAAGGTCTTAAAATACTCAAGATCAAAGGTTTAAATGCGCAATTTTCAGTGCTTATCAAATACATTTCGAAGAGGCTTGTATATCCCCCAGTTTCCTAAGCCCTAGACCACCTCCAGTTTTAGTTCTAGTAATCAAGTCCCTACTTAAAAGGTGAATCTTTTTAGCACGTTCCCTGTTGCCCATAAGCAGTTGGTTTATAGCAGCGGTAGGAACATTAAAAATACTTCACTTTTTTTTTGAGCTTTTAAAGGATAAAGAGACGGAAATATTATTTTAGAATGAGGCAACCACAATATTTTGCGGATGTTTTAAGGGTGTCTCCTAGCATAATTATCTCACGAATCTCAGCGTTGTAAACTTGCATGGAGCCACTATCAAAAAGAGTATTTTCAAAAATACATTTGAGGAATACTCCAAAAATCATATTTTGTGAACTTTATATTTTAAGTTGACCTATAACACTAAAACCCAATGTTAAGTAGCGACTCCATAAATTTCTATTAAGGCCCTGCATCAAATAATTTTGTCGCATTAAATTAACCTTTCAATAAGCATTGTTCCATTTTAACCATCATTTTTTCCAAAACAACCCATTGAAACGTTGCGGGTCGAAAATCGGGGGGGCAGAACACAAATGAGTCATCCTTGTGGGTGAAATGGATTGCTTTCTACCACATTAAAGATAGAAGTATAAGGTATGCTAAGCATTCTAGTAATGCTTCATGGGGATGGAGAAGTGTTGAAACAGAGGGAATAATTAGAATGTAATTCAGCCACATTAAAGGGAATAGATAAAATACATCCATAAGGTATGACAATTGGCTCCCTAGTAGGCATATTGCTTTAAGAGTTATTGTCCATAGTTCCATGCCCTTGTAGGGATGATCAGGTTGTCTGGGTGCCTAATGAGTGTTAGGAGAATATTATCCAAACGAATTATATGTTCAATGGAAAGACATGGTTTGTTTAGATGTGGTGTTCCGAGGCATTGCCTTACTCCCTAGATAGCTGTTGAGCAAGAATTATACATTCGAGATGGCTAAATTTGGAATGATTTTCAATATTAATTTGGGTAAATTACACTGACCTCCCTTGAAGTATAATCAATATACATAGACCGTCAAGCATATGTGATGGAAAGAGTGAAATTATGAGTTTGTCCTTGTTATATTTATTTGTATTTTATTACCCCTCCTATGTATCATGTGCGAGCAGTCTCCGATCATCACCCTGTCACGACTGCTTTGTAAATCCATTTGTTGAGTATTATGAAATCGGAGATGAGGTCCCGAGATTCCTTACTAGAATCGTTGCCGCCAAAAGCCACAGTTGTTTCCCAAGTAGTTGACGTCGTGTTTTCGGTTACATTTATTCCATCTCACACTAGAGTTTTGATTTGTTCTCTCTAGAAGTTGTAGTGTGATTCGGAGATGGGGGACCGAAATCGACGGCGAGAGGGGAGGTTCATCCGCCTGGTGCAAATCTCTTCTTCCCACTATGTTATAGGCATTTTAGGAACTAATAAAGAAAGCTTACATCAGCAATTACCAGGATACCACTAACGATTGTTAATGGATGGCTGGTATATGTTATAAAGATACAAATGTTAAGGTAGGTACGTGTAATTTGGAGAGGTCCGTGTATGTTGACAATAAATTAAGAGAGGTTAGTGTAATTTATCCTGTTAGTTTTGATTTTTGTTGATTGAAATTTTTGGTCACTTATTTTAGTTATTCTCAATTTTATTTTTTGACCAAAGTTGTGGGCGGCTTTATTTAGTTATTCTATTTTCTCATAATTGAAAACAAGAAAATTGTATAAAAATTTGTTTGATCTTTGGAGAACTATTTTATGAAAGCTTGGCTAAAAAAATTGTATGTTTTTATAGAACTATCTTTTATAATTCTCTAAAAATAATTTTTTGTTCTGTTTTTATATAATTATTTTTATAATTCTTTGAAAACGGTTTTATGTTTTTTTCAACTCTTAAGAATCAAAAGTGACAAATCAAGCAAACTTGTAATATTTATTGGTGTCCAGTCTTCACTCTGACTTTATTCATCTTAATTAAATCCCAACAAGTGAAGTGCTAAAAAACACTCTTTAGTTTGAAAAGTGTGTAAATGACGCCCATCATTTTCAAATCCCACAATGTGGTATGAAAAGTGCACAAAGAAAGGCTTATTGTTAGTTAAATAAAGTGAGATAGGCAAATATATGAAAATGCCCCTTAAGATTCTCTTTACAAAAATAATAAAAGATAAGTATGAAGTTGAAATTACTTGAAACGGCTTACACAAAATTAGAGAATAGAATCAAATGAAATATATAATAATGTAAAAAATCAATATATATATATATATAGTCAAGGTGCCAAATTAAATTCCAGTGAATAATTATTGAATAGTAATACAAATAAATATAAAAATACTATATATTTTCGGAACAGAATAAATTATTTTCTTTTATACCGATGACAAACCCTAAATGCTTGACAAAAGATTTCTTTCTTAAAAGCATATAACAGGCTTAGACATTTAGGTGTATATACATTCGTCAAAGACATTTATATTTATTTTTATTTTTTAATAAATTAATATTTAATTATTTGATCACATGAATATTGAAAAACAAATTACTAACATAATATGTAAATCACTTTTATGTTTTAAAAAATATTATTATTTCTATATATATATTATTGTATATATACACACATGGACATGCAGAGAGACACAGATACACACTAGAATATAGGTAGAATTTTTGAAAAAATTCATAAATTTAATTTATTTATTATTAGTAGCATTAAAAAAATACAATTTAAAATGCGGGAGAGAGCCGTTAGAGTAAGATTGAGAATGAGAAAGAAAAAATATACATATAAATAAGAGTATTTATAGAGAGAAATAATGAAATTAGGGTACTATATATAAAAAAAAAAAAAGGGAGAAATGAATTACATCAGTTTGAAAAGCACAAAAGGTTAGTGTTGGTTTTGAAGTGTCTTTTTTGGTTACATGACCGCAAATGTTACCTTTTGGGATCAGAAACCCTTGTTTGCTCATTTTTGAAATTTGAACATGAATGGTATTGTATGCACACTATTCAAACTATAGGGTTTTAATTTTCACTTCAGGCCCTAAAGTCCCAGCATAATCTTTGACATTTGGGCTATAATTAATGGCAGTTTAAGCTAGCACCCGTTTTAAGCATATCATCTCATCTTCTCATGTCAAAGAGACACGTTTGATTCTTGCAAAGGACAGGTACTAATTTTCAGGTGTGTTTCGTATTTAACCTCCGATATATTGTCTAAAATATTACTTACTTTCTGATTGAAGATGAAAGCAGAACCATGTCATCTGCTCCATATCAGTCCCCTAGTAAAATAAAACACCACAGCAGTTGAAGCCGCTCTGCTTCAAGTCTTCAATATCCTTCAACAATAATACTATTACATGCCAAACATTGCAGTACCAATTGAAACAAATAGAGCCTTGCCTCAGGTTCTTCAACTAATCTGCGGACTAAAGATAAATATATGGCTATATTTCAGATGATCAAATTTAGGTTAGGGGAACAAAAAGTCCTATCAGGACTACTAAACATGCAGCGCTGAAAATTTACTCTAACACGTGAGCTAGACAACAGTACAAATCGAAGGTACTGAACATTGGGTTTTAAATGTTCTATTAAAGACGGTGAATGTTTAGAACTTAAATTTCTTAACTTAAGTGCAAGAACTGGAACATAGTCTTTATTCCTGTAGAAGCAAATGCTCCTCCCACAAAAGCCTCAAACAATTCCTACAGTTTTGCTCCAGAACTATAAAAGTGACTTCTTTGCTGCTTTAGAACTTTCCCCTTAAATAGATTGGACAAAATGCAGACAACAGTTATCACTTCGGATCCCAATCATTGTCCCCAAGCACACGCTCTGAATCCACGGCATGGAAAAAGAATAATATGAGCATAAGCATCGTAAAAACATGAATATAACCACAATACAAGGTAAAGCACATTTTAAATCAACAATTTATGAGAAAATGCTTCAGAATGAAGGCCTACCACAAAAGAGAAAGTAATATACTTCACCAATTTAGCAATTTAAATTGTCAGGTATCCAAAGCGAGGTCCTCAATAAAACAACATTTAGCAAGAAAATGAGAGGACTTCCAACATTTAGCAAAAAACAGGAGCTGACAATACTTTTTAGAATCATTAATTTGTCATTTATACGAGTGTCTACAATTTGTTCAATTCATATTTTGACCAGATACTACAGGATTTTAATAGCAAATGCAGAAATTAGAATTAGACTTCAATGCTACTTAAAGTTCTGCAAACATGCCGCATAGCCTTCTTAAAAGGTTGTCTTATGACACTAAAGTTGAAAGATTTAGAAACCATCAGATCTGTTATCCTTTCTAATTTTATTTTTTTTCTAAGAAAAAGAAAATTGACAATACATTGTCCATGTACCACTTCTGTGGTTCCATGCTATTTAACTACATACCAACAAAAGGAGTTCGTATTCACAGGAAAATAGAAAAATGTCATCACCCATCCAAACACAAAATAACAAATAAATTACAAAATCAAGAAAGTAAATCAGTAGCAAAGGTTGTCCAATAAGACACCACGATTGCGAGAGTAGGTTAGCACATAGGACCTCAACGTTTGGCTTGATTTACTCCAAAGTTCAACCAAATAGTCATCATACTCTGAGATCTCAGGGGAAAAACATAGCTTAAATCACTTAAAATTTGCTCGCTTATGTTAACCACCATCTACTTAAAAAGCTTAAGATGTTAGACAAAACTTTAATATTTAAATCGTCTAACACACTCCACGTGTAGCCTTCTTTTAATCCAACTTGTGTTTCAATTTTAACTATTTGGGTGACGGTGAGAATTGAACTCAGCTGCTCTGATATGTTAACCACCATTTACTCTAAAAGCTTAAACTGTTAAAAAAAACAAGAAGATAAGGAAACTTTTAAAGGGTTTCGCTGGTACTAGGGTTTGAAACCGCGAGGAAGACCACTTCGAGCAATGGAGGAGGGTCAAACCTCCTCCCATACACAGCAGGGAATGGCTCCAGTCCTTTCTAGGTCTTCTCAATGCACTGCATGGCGGAATTTGTTTGATAATTCTAAACACGTTCCCTGCAAAACTCAAGTTTTATGAAGGAATGCAGGCAGCAAGAATCGATTGTGATCACAGATGAAGATGTCCAGGACGACGTTGAGTATTGGCGTAACTCTCTGATTGGTTATGTCAACGGAAAGTGCCGTATTTCCCACAATTCCAAGGCTTTATTCAGAGAAAATGAGGGAAGGATCTGAAGATCATATCCTTGAATGAGGGCTTTTTCTTGATCAGATTCAATGCCGTGTGTGATATGGAGGAAATACTAGAACATGTTAACACCTTTGAAGGCCGACCTATTATTTTGAAGAAGTGTAAAAAAGCCAACTTGGAAAGAGATCTCCTAGACTCGGTTCCAATCTGGATTAAGATCCATGGTTTGCCTATTCATTGTTGTAATAAAGTGGTGGCATGTAAGATATGCTCATCTTTCCCAAAACCCCTTTTTCTAGATGAAGCCATGGCTAAAGAAAGTGGACAATTTATCAGGGTTATGGAAGAAGTTGATGTGCATCGAGTCTTGCCTGAGAGTCTTTCGATCAATGTTTCATGGTGAGGATTGTAAGTTATCCGTTGAATATGCCTGGAAACCTCAGATACATAAATGCCCCATAAAACACAGGAACATTTGTAAAAAGAAAGTTGCAGAGAAATGGGTGGTGAAAAGGAAGGGAAATATGATTGCCGTTGAGGATTGTTCAGGAACATGATACTGATACACTCAATCGTGGGAATCAAACTCGAGAAATTCCTTCTTCGCCTAATCCATTTAATGTGTGAGCTATTATTGGGGACGGTGGGACGAAACCAGTCCTTCCTCAAAACGTGACAACTTCTTTGGTGATAGAGGAAGGGGCTGCCAGTCATGATAATAGGGCTGACGGTACTGAGTTGGAAGCTATGTTACCCGGACCCGGGTACGGGTGTCGGACACGGATATGTCTCTAGAAGTCGGATCTATCCATCTTCCTAATTATCAAATACAGGGACACGGCTAAAAAGTGTCCAAAGGTTGGACACAAGCACTTGGACACTTCTAAGAAAATACAAAAGTGTACCCTTTTTTATGCATTAGACCTCAGTTTTTTAATGAATTAATAAATAAATTTATCGACGTAAAGATAGGAAAGGAAAAAGTGATAGAACTTATATAATAATATTATTTATTGTTAATTATATATATATATATATATATATATATATATATATATTGTTGCATTTGTTTACCTTATTTGCGAAGTCAAGGCATAAAGGGAGAAAATAACAAACGGCTAAAGATTCTTTCACTATATATATAACGACGATATACATTACTTAAAAAAATAGGTACGGACTGTAGAGTACAGTAGTAAACTAGTATAATGGTTTACAATACAACATGTACCTATTTTTTAAAGTAAATCATTAATCTAATTAAAAGACCACATTTTACATATCTTCACTTCCAAATAGACAGGTGGCATCAACGTGACCATCTATGTTACCTAGACTCACCAATGCAAGTTGAAGTGTCCATGTCGACACGATAGAAACACAGACACAGTCACTCGATCTAAGTTGGATCCTTAATAGCACCTACCGGACATTGCCGATCGACGACAAAAACACAAAAATAAAATAAAATAATAAATTTAAAATTTAAAATTTAAAAATTTTAAAAAAAAAAAAATTTTAAATAAAGAAAGAAAGAATGCGTAGGTTAATATGCTTGTGGAGGATTAGGAAATTTTTTTCATGTTTTATTTGTGAAATAGGCTGAAGCTCACTGGTTCAACAATGGCTATCTGGTTCGAAAATAGCGTCATTTGAAAGGTTGAAGACAACTTGTGTTTGCAGAATTCTGTTTTTTGCTTACTGAGCGTGTTTTCACATGCCTTTTATTACCCTTTAATGGTCACGATGAAGCCACCAATCTATTTGGAAGTGAACATATGGAGATTATGGTCTTTTAATCAGAATAATGCCTTACAGCTGTAAAACAATATATATATATATATCTACAGTTGTAAACTGTAGAATGGTTTACAACTGCAATGTACAGTCTGTACCTATTTTTTTTAAGTAATATATATCGTCCTTCTATATATATAGTGAAAGAATCTTGAGCTATTTTATTTTTTCTCCCTTTATGCTTTAACTTTTCAAATAAGGTAACCAAATACAACAATAAATAATATTATTACATAAGTTCTATGGCTTTCTTCTTTCCTATCTTCACGTTGATATATTTATTAATTATTTTATAAAAAAACTGAGGTCTAATTCATAAAAAAGGATACACTATTGCATTTTCTTAGAAGTGTCCAAGTGCTCGTGTCCAACTTTGGATACTTTTTAGCCGTGTCCTCGTATCCAATAACTGGGAAGATAGATGGATCCGAATTCTAGAGAAACAACCGTGTCCGACACCAGTATCGGGTGGTCCAGGTAACATAGATTCCAACTCAGTACCGTCAGCCCTATTATCATTATTGGTGCTAATGCTGCAGTTCTTGTCGGCTTTGTTGCTGGCAAGGATGATAGGGTCAAGCAATCCAAGGAAAAGAAGGGTTCTGACATCAATGCTGAGTCTCGGGGGAAGCAGATCCAATCGGTTTTCGTGATCAGCAAAGTGGGTATCATAATGGGGATGACATGTCAGATTGTTGTTTCCACCTTCTCACAGGACTCTGTTACAGAAGGTGTCTGCACTGAGAGGATAATTATCAAGTCACTGTCACTAAGTCACCTTACACATCTCAGAACCTGTCATTTCTTGCTATTGATGTGTATGCAAAGCTTGTTGTCCTGATTATGAAGTGCTGTGTGGTGGAGCATGGGCCAACTAAACTCCAACTTTTGCCTAGGATTGTTGTCCAGATAGATGCACGAGTTGAGGTTATCAATCAATATCTAGGATGTTTGATTTAAGTATCTTGTGGTAAACCGTCTAAACATATGCAACTTGTTTTTGCTTATAATGAAGTATGCTTAAACTAGTTTGACCAATCAATGTACAATTAGTTATTCTTCAAAAAAATTCAATAATCCATTTCCATGCGAGTCCATTGATCAAGTTCCTTTAATTCCATATATGTATTCGCTTGAATTTCTTATTCCTTTGTTCAGCTTGTCCATCATTTTCATGCTGATATGCGACAAGAAATTATTTTGAGTAAAAAGAATTATGAATTTACTACATATGCTCATCGTAGGAATCACGAATTTATTAAAAGAGATTATGTTATAGTTCGTTCACTACAACAATATTTTCCTAAGAAATCCTTCAAAACCATTCATTAATTAAGAAATAATGCATATTTTTTTGATTCGTCATTAGATATGAGTACTAATTCAACTTTGTTTTTTTATAAGTAAAGTATATTAGAAAGCGTTCAAAAGGGGAACGCATCCCAAGAGCTATACAGAGGCCGAAGCCAGAGACAAGGTCCTAAGGACCCACCGAACCCAAAAAATCAATAAACTCATCAATGGATATACAATTTCTCCCCAAAACTCAACTAAAAAGAGAGCTAATAATATGAAACTTCAAAGCCCCTAAGGAAGATTCCTCCCCTTCAAAAGATCTTATATTCTGCTCCTTCCATAAGCACCACCAAACACAAAGGGGAACCACCCTCCAACACTCACGGGCGCGGGCTCCCACACTACAGCCTCGCCAAGCATCAATCAAACCCCTCGAGGACCGAGCCATAACCCAATGGACGCCGAAAAGGCCAAAGATAAGGCTCCAACAGTCGTGAGCTACAAGGCAATGCAAAAGAAGGTCATCCATAGACTCACCACT